CTGGTAGTAAATTTTCAGTGTTTCACTACGTACGTTTTAGTATTAAAAGACAACATTCTAGGAAGGAAAAACACCATTTTCCCTAAATGATTGATCTGTGCATCCATCCGTTCTTCTTTACATCTCAAGGCATCTCAAGTACATGAACATGGTCAAATCTGCAGTTTCATTGGCTCACTCGCTCCAGTGGAAAAGGTTCCCTCCTTTTCTTTCCAAGTAGACTTTATGGCCCACGGTTTATTTGGCATCTGTGTCATTTACTAGTAGGCTTGAATCAAGTCTGCTTGGGACTTCTGGAAAGTTAGGCAATTCCTAGTCAGTGAGATCTTTACTTTTAGAAATGCATATCTAGAAAGTTACTGCTGCTGCTGGTTTACAGCAAACCCAGAAGTCCTATGGGGTTGCCATTTATTATAGATGCTTGTTTGCAGAGAGAGACAGACATTTATGTAAAATAAGTATTTGGCCCAAATTATGGTTGGACCAGAATAAAACTCTTCATATAGCTGAAAACTAACTGCATGAAACCCCGAAGATGTCCACTGTGGTAAAATAGCAGCTTTGCAAGCCTACACAGAACATTGACAGTAGTGTAGCCATCTGGGTGACCGACCAGTGACAGTAACCAGAACAGATCCCTGGTGTAAGCAGGAAAAGAAAAATATGTTAATCAGAAAGCAGAGGGTGCATGCTTTCTGAGGTTTAAGCTTGCCATGGTATGTATATTTGCATGGTTTGGGAAAAATGATTTCTTAACACTTATAAATCTGCTTGCAAAATAGCTCCTAAAGCAGGAACTGGAAAGATCTGTTGATTTGAATTAGTCTTTCTAAAGAATTTGATGTTATTTGACCGACCGTAAGGGGAATATGTCCTAACACCCAAAAAGGGCCTTATTACATTTTATTTCTGTGAACTACATTTTTACCGCTTTTTTTTCCCCACTCATTTTGCAGTGTTCTGCACTCACTAGTTCTTAGTCTAAATACCTGTATTCTTGTTGAAGTATTTTAAGTAAGAGAAAGGTGCTGTCTGTCTGCGCTGATAATATTTTCTGTAATTTTGTAGGATATCTTGGCACAAGTTCTACAGATACTGTTGAAATCAAAATTGCTTGTAAGTACTCTTGCTTTTTTATGAGCTGCGTAACATTCACAAACGTATTAATGAATATTTGTTTATTTGTTTATTTATTTCTTGCAGGTTTTGGAAGATGAAAATGCAAATGTCGATGAGGTGGAGTTAAAACCAGATACCTTAATAAAACTGTATCTTGGTTATAAAAAGTAAGGAAAAACTTCAGCAGCGTACATCACTTGTGTATAATGGGTAGCATCCTCCTTCTCTGCCTTCAAAATTTGGGTAAAACCTAATATACCTGGGATGAAAGCTCCAGGGTTCAAGTGCCAATTCAAATATAGATCCAACATGTACCAGCTTTAAAGGAGAGGGTTGGCTAGTAAGGGGGATGGGTAAGATTTCAGCTATCCAACTTGGACTTTGTCATCAAGTCTGTCAAGGCCTGGACATATTTTCATATGTCCTTTTTGTTCCTTGATTCTTGTCTAATTCTTGTATAGATTATTTCTGGTAAGAAATTCTGCTGGTTTTTACCCAGGTGCATGACTTGCATGCATTCAGCAAAATACATTATATTTACGGTAGTGTACAGTGACTAGCAAAGGTCAAAGTCTTAAATGTTCATCCACTAGAGATAGCATGAGAAGATCAGTAGGCTCATTTTAGAGCTTCAGAGCATACAGTGATTTGAAAGCTTAATAGAGACGATTTTCAGTAGTTTTTCTTGCCTACTTTAACCAGCATTGCTTTCAACATTCATATATTTTAAGCTGTTCATAGTACTGTGGTGACTTTTTATCATGCTTACCAGAACATAGACGTAAACACACATAAATTCAGTGAGGAGTTCAGTACTTCCTGAAGATAAGATCTCAAGTGAAAGAAACATTTTAAAACCTTTCCTTGTACCTCACTCTTTATCTGCTTTCTTCCCTCCTTGGCCAGTAATTAAAGGTTTGAGAATTCATGGTCAGTAACATTAATGCAGTGATGGAAACAGCTCAGCGTTGCTGCACCGTGCGGCCTGGTGGTTCCCAGTTTATGATGCACAAGACTATGCTAAATAAATAACAGATGCCCGCTCCACCACAGCATTCCCCAGTGCTGCCAACAGGCTGAGCACTGCCCTGCGCTCCCTGGTGCTGAGGCTCCTTCCCCACTTGCGACACCACACCTTGTCTTGAGAGCGGTCACGTGTGGGCTTGCCCCGGCACAACCGTGGGCACTGGGGGCGTGTAGAAGAAAGGCAGAATTCAGTTTTACAAAACAAATGGATTTCTCCACATCATGGTCAGAGTCCAATCTGTAAATCAGAATGGTGATTCTGTTTCCACTGACTTTCTCTGTCCCATTCACTGGCTGGAAGCTTCTTCCTAAACATAGAAATCTTTCAAATACAGTGTAATATATTGCGCTAATTTGACCTAACACCAGGTTGGATTCAGTAAGTCATAAAATACACGAACAACCACCAAAAAGGTATTTTGGTTTTTTGGTTTGTTGTGGTTTTTTTGTTTACGTTTTTAAACTTGAATAAGATTGTCTAAAATTTTCAGAAGTGCCAAAGTCCCATTTTGTTGTAAAGTAATTGTGGTGGTGTGGCTGTTATTTTGGAGTTGGGTTTTGTTTGG